GAACAGGAGGGGGAACCAACACCCTGGGTGGGTATAACAGCGCGGGGCAGAAACAGATGGATATGCAGAGCAGTTGATAATACTCTCGTTGGAGTTTAGAGCTTAGATATGACCACGCGGGAGGTTGTTTTCTGCGCCTGTCTCGGTGGTTGTTTGAACTTGTTTCGGGGTTCTGGTACCTACTTTTGGCTGGGAAGGGGGAAGGGTGACCCCCACAGCTTTGCTCTGCGGGATGAAACGGTTTGCTAGGTCATATGTATGTAGATGGTTGGTGATCAATTATCGATATTGAGTTCATCACCAGGCATGATATTTGACTTATTAGGAGCGTCTGATTCAATTGAGCCCATCCCGTTTTTTCCCCCCAGCCAAGAGCCAGAGCCGCCGAAAATATGTTCCTCGAGATCGGGAGCACAGACATATCGAATACATGTCAGGAGAGCGTGCGTTGCGTTATTATGATGTTCTGTGTTCTGATATAGGTGAGGTGCGCGTGCGCGCACGCGGGAGGAAGAAAAGAGTTTAGGTGGGGGCTTGGGATTGCTGAGTGATTATTAGGTGACCTATCTAGAACACCGGGCATATCCCTGCATCGATCTGAATCTGAGTCCTAATGCTATGTGGTGGTTATATATTTTTGCTTGTTTTTTTTTTTATATGTAATTTTTTTTTTTTGGGCGGGCTAAGGAGATTTTTAGGAGGGTGGAAAATGAATATATGCGTGAGGAGTATTCTTGATATCTGCAGCGGTAGAGCACGAGCGTGAGGCGTGGAATATGAGTTACTCTTCTCCTCGCGGGTTATGAGTATACACACTGCAATTGCAAGTATCAGTAAAACCTGCACATCTGTATTCTGTATACATATAGTACCACGATATTGGAATTGAGGTTATGATGTTGGGTACATACCAATAAATTAATTCACCAGTATCGACTCACCCATAACTATAAGTTATGGAGTATAAATGCTTCGAGTAAGTGATCATAAGCATGCATGCTCTCGTACACCTATTAGAACGCCTCTTAAAGACTTCCAGACTATCTCTTCTTTCCAAATTCCACTTCCGTATGAGACATCCCCAATAATCTAATAATCGGCAGTACCGGTATGCTCGAACTACCCCTCTCACCCGCTGGATCACCTTAAGCTCTGAAACACCCCCCCCCCCCCCCCAAATCGCTATATCTCCCCAAGTCTCACACGCAGGGCCCCGGTCCCCAGATCATTCTTCTTCTCGTCTCTCCTAATACCTCCCCCTTCGATCTTCCCCCCTGGAGTACATCCCACGCGCCACAACGTCAGGCTCGGATTAAAGAACCGGGCTGCAGTGAGTTGGGGGTATCCCAGCTAGCGTTGACTCAGGTACATGTAGTCACTCACCCGTAACCTAACTGGCTGGCCGGTATGTACTCTCCTGGTAATAACTGTTTTATGATCGGGATGGCCACGAGCTAGCGGAGATTTTTTGTGATTGCCGGTTGCTGGCCCGGCGGCATGACGCAAAACTAAGATGATATGAGGGTTTATGGAGGTAGCTGGTAGGTTTTGCGGTGTTTTTTTTTTTTTTTTTTTTTTTTTTTTTTTTAATAATTATAGATGGAATTGGGGATAGCGAAGGTGGTCGGGTTGTTGGAATGGTTTATCTATAGGAACTTGCAGCTATGTTAGCTGCTCCTTCATATTGTGCTATCACTCCACACGCGGCCCCCACAGGTATATCGGCACATACACGCACTTGAGTAGAGTAGCTGAGGTCATCTTGTGCGACGGTGACAACCCAAGAGCCGATCCGGCCGTGGGGGACGTTGTTTTAATACGGGATGTGAACCCTCTCTCTTCCTTCCGGATATGGCGGACTTTGAGAATATATATTTTGGGTACCCGGTGAAGGTGAGCCGAGGTATGTTTAGGTTTTGTAGGCCGCCCAAGAGCTAGCTAACACGATTTCCAGGTTTGTAGTGGCCCTTGCGTATGTGGAATGGCCCTTTTGATATACGTTTGATACGCTCGTGATACGCACGGGAAGACAACATCCTGGAGAGGTTGTTCGTTGGGGGGGGGGGAGGCTTCCTTTGGTACCCAGTTATCCGGAGAGATCTCGGGGGTTAGTGTGCAGATTGTGGGCGTGAGGAGATCTGGGGTGGGACATGTATACGACATTCCCCGGTTTCTGTATACGTACCTACATGTATGGAGTTGTGGCACGGGTTGGCCTGGGTCCAGTGAGTGACTTGCAAGCCGGTACTCGGGCACGTATGCAATTTTCGCTCCCCCATAATTTCAAGCTGGTAGTCACAGATCCCTCCTGTATGACTCCTTTCTGAAGATGCCGTATCTCCAGCTTTGTGGGACGGAAGGACGGCCGGGACAATGTATTGCACCGTCTGAGGTTGATCTATATCTCTCCATCACGAGACTTATAATTAACTAGCTACCAGACAAAACAAAAGAGTAAAACCCCGTATTATGATACTACGAAACTACCGAAACCAAAGGTCAATAATTTAAGACGAAACTAAGAATACCCTCTAGTCTCGTGTCGTCGTCTAGCTTGTTTCGTGCGGCCCATCACTATTTAAGCTGTTGCTTGATCAGAGGTTATAAAGCTTGCCGGGCTTTTCCTATCTCTATAGTAGTTCCGCAGAACCGATGCCTACCAGTCATAGCTAGCTAGCTGCATACCCTGGGTTTTCGATTTTTGGAGCCGGGTTATGGAATTAGGTTTAGCCGGATGGATGGATGGATGGATGGATGGAGAAGCTAGCTAGCTCTCTGGAATGGAGAGCATGTAGAGTAGAGTGTGTACATCCGTGGTAGATCCGGGTCTCCAAGTATACATAAGTATAGATCTACAGCTAGGGAAGACCCTGTATGCAGTTCGAAAGTCCTCGGCGGACCCCCCCCCCCCCCAAATATGTAACACCTAGAGGCCGTACGTGTGGTATGCTGGGACAAGGAAGGAGCAGAGATGGACCGTTTTTGGGTACATAGGCTAAATTGAATCATAAGGGAATGCCAGCTTAATTCAAAGCAAAATTGCCTTTTTGGTGTCTGGCTTGCATTCATGTGAATACGGACCACTCGTTAAATTCAAGCTCCCTCTGCTGTGGCTAGGTAACGGTTGTGGCTGGTCTTCACATAAATCACAACAGAGCTAGAGGAAGAGTACATCCGTTCTACTTGTAAAGTGCTGATCATTAGTGTTCTCTCTAGCTATGTATACAGTGGAGGGCTCCCCGTAGGCGATAGAAGCTGTTCTATTGCTATTTAGGTTCTATTCGAGGTTGCAACGGATGGAACATGGGGTTTCTATCAGCCAGTTGTCTATCGTTAGGACCCTCCCTCGAGGGGGTGGGTTCTATCTGCTCTGCTCCTTCTATATGATGTCTATTGCTCGTTGCAACAAATCCAATCCCTGCACCTTCCACAACTGGACTAGTGATCGAATAGAACAGAGATCTTTGTTTACCTACGGGAAACCACTTTTGTTTTTGGTTGCTTCTATCCTATCGAATAGAAAAAAAAATAGGAATAGAACAGCTTCTATAGCCTACGGGAAGTCCTCCAGTGTTTCCAAGTACTATTGATGATTGATTACTTCATTAATTGTATGTGTTTCTAACTATTGACTATAAGTAACCATTATCGACAGTCTTGTATCCTCACAGTTTGCCCAGAAAGAAACGTTCCACTAGTTATAGGCCTACATTTAGCTAAAGAACCACAGTATGTGTCTACATGTGTATATATGTGACCCCTGTGCTGGGATGATATTGGTATTGCAGGTGATCTGGTTACATGTAGTCATTACACGTTATCAACACTGTATTCGATCGTGGGGAAGGAACACTTAGCGCTATCCCATCAACCGTAGCAACCGAGTTAAGGACCCGATTGGGTCCCACTTGAAATAAAGTGACCTTTCTTAAATTCACAGCAACACCAGCTTCGTGAGTACTATATTAGGAGCTCTTATTGGGATCGGTTGATAAACTTTCCCGCTTCTTTGTTATTAGTGAACAGGGCTGGATTATATCGTTTTTGTGTTTTTATCGAGGTTAGAGTTGCAAAGTACCCAATTGGAACCTCAGGCTTCTACGGTTCATGGGATACGAATAGAACAGATAAACCAGACAGCTACGTATAATTATATAAGCGTTATATCTACGTAACCCGGCTAGGTGAATCTTCCTGCTATCCATATATACTTCATAGCAATCAGCTCGAATTTAACCATATTACATTAACAAAAATTTCACCCTCTACGCACTAAAATTAGTCTAATACCGTGCCAATACCGGGACGCATCCGAGTTTAATTTCTACGTGCTTGTGAGTCTTTTCTCTTTCAAGATCATTCAGTTGTTTGGTTTTTTGGTTGTTTGATTGACGTCTTTCAAGATCACTCCGCTGTCCACCTTCCTCCATTTAGTTACTGACTAGCGCTACCAAATGCTAGGTCTCCAAAACCTAAAACACCCTAGTTATAAGCTTTCAGATCTGTAACGTCACTACAAGAGCTTGGTCCATCTATACCTATAGCTACTGCGTATATCTCCATTGGCCATAGCCTCTGGGCTGAAAACAATCAATCGGTTATCGATTAATCAATCCATTGTATTGGATGCATCCCACGTACCAGTTACCACGGTCAGTGGTGCATACGATTGAAACGGGTCCCCGCGTATAGAAAAATTCACTAGGAGTGTTACGCATCCGAAACAAACAATACAATGGTCCATGAGCGGCGCGCCTTCTTATGTGTATTTATAAAAACAACTCGCTATCCCGGTACATGTACCGTACATGCATATACCAGGCCAACATTAGACTCCACCATCATATCAATCCAGAAGCTAGTCTCCCAAGCTGTACATACGGCACTCAGGACCAACTTCACCACAGACTCATCTCCACAGTCCATCTCTCCAGCCCTTCTACACCACCCTAGTTCCAACGTAACCAAAAAAACCACATAACCACCACAAACTCACCACCATGCATATTCCTCTCCTCAACACCCTCATCATCCTCCTCCTCACTATCACATTCACCGCCTATCCCACGCTGGCCAATATCACCCCACCTGACGAAACTGGCCGCCAAACCACCTTCCTCTGCGGAAAACGGCCCACACAAGAAACCATCCCAATGTCCGACTTCTCCGCCGCCGCCAGTAATTTCCTCCAAGAATGCCTGACTAGACCCCGCTCTGAGGTCTTCCCCAACATGCTCGACATCCCCAGCCGCGATCCAAACAGACCACTCTGCAAGGTCTTCGGTAGTTCCGGCATAGCCAGTCTGGCTGTCTGTCTGAGTGGTACCGGCGACCCGGGCCAGAAGGAGGTTGACCTCTTGAACAAGGCCTTTCCCACATGTGGGCATACGGTTGTCATATAGGGGAAGATAATGCAGACATGCCCTGATGGGGAGATGGTGCAAGCAATGCGGCCGTATTTTGAGGTGGGGTTGCTGTTCCACATTTACGGGAAGGGAACCGTATTTTGAGATAAAGATGCTGTTCTACATTTATAGAAAGTTAATTATAGCGGGGAGGGGCGTTTAACTGTAGTGGGGAGCAGGGGAGGGCCGCAGAAATAGATATTATATATATACGGCTTGAGCTTGCTAATTTAACGTATTACTACTAAGGGACCCCATATGTATCTCTCTCTCTCTCTCATACACAACATACACACAGTTCTCGATGCGGCTTCGATTTTTTTCTTTTGTGTATATACATTTCTCTGTTTCTTGTTTTTCTGCCCTACTCATTTAATTAAGTAATTATGTACTCAATTAACTAATAGTATTTTTAAATAAGTAAAATGTTCGTGGTGGCTGCCCAACTAGAGGAGCCGAGTGAGCAGCTGTGCGCCAAGACATATATTACAAAATGAAGGTTCCCTGCAGATGTCGTAAAAGGTACTCTACATGCTATTGACAGGTCCGCACATACATGTATCAGGTAATTATAAAGTTGGGGTAGGTACCAAGCTCTCGGGGTGTAGTATGTAGATGTACATATACATCCGCATCGATTTGTATCCTATGTCATCTAGATCTGTCCTCGCGTACCAGTACATATCAGGAGCTATATTATTGAGGAACATTTCTTTCTGTACCAATTTTATTTATTATATTTATTATATTTAACATCTTCGCTAGGCCCGGCTACATCGGTCCAATCATTGAAATCCAACCACCCTACTTCTGCAACCACTCCAACATAACCCCCGCACACTCCCTCCACGCCACATCCCTCATCAAATGATGCCCACTCCCCTTCACCTCTTCAAACCTCACCACATCCGTCCCCTCCTCCACCCTCCCTGACACACACTCCAACGCACTCCTATACCACGCCGCCAACTGCGCCATGATCCTCACTCCCATCAGTCTATCCTCGCTCCCGGCCACCACCAGCACCTTCCTCCCACACCTCAACGCCGGCGCCACACCCCCCACCACCCTCCGTGGATCCACAAACTGCATCATCATCCCCAGCGGCCACATCATACTCTCCGTCTCTGCCATATCCTCCTCCACCTCCTTCACCAGCTCCGTCGGGCAGCCCGCGCCAAGAAACGCCCGATGCACAAGTGTGGTGGACGACAGCGGCGAGCGCGGGTGGAAGAGGTCTCGGAAGTACATGCGCACTGCGAACCACGGGTCCATGACGAACCAGTTGTAGTACACGCCATAGGAGCCGAAGCCGGGAACGGCGGCGAGGGTGATGAGACCGCCGACGGTCTCGAGGGAGCGGGAAATGAGGTATTGCGAGAGGCCGCCGCCGGAGGAGTGGCCGCAGAGGATTACGCCGTTTTGGCGGTTGGGGGTGGGGGTGCTGGGGTAGGTGATGTTGTGAAGGTGGCGGATGTGCGTGATTGCGGTGGCGATGTCGAGGGCGAGGGTATGTTTGGCTGCGGAGGGTTAGAAGGGGGTGTGGAGGGATTGGAGGGAGGGAGGGGTACAGCCGGGGGGAGAACGTACTGGTCCAGTATAGTTTCCAGAACCCGGGGTGATGGGAAGCACCGTGGCCGCGGAGGGAGAGGCTGTAGGCTGGGTGGCCGTGGGAGGCGAAGAAGGGGAGAAAATTTATGTAGCAGGTAGCACTACCAAACCCTGGTGTTATATCAAAGAGGTCAGCATCAATACCAATTACACCGTGATATTCAAGCTAGCTGACTGAGAAATCTAGATGTTTGTTTTCAAAATACCAATGCAGACACTCACCTCCATGAACAAACAGCAGTGGCGGTCTCTCCTCCCCCGACCCAGAGCCCGTGCTCGCCGGAAGAGCCACCAAAATCTCCAGCATCCCGTCCGGCGATGGAATAAACATCCTCTCAACCCCGTCCGGCAGCGGTTTCGCCGAGATCGTCGGGCCCACGTCCCAGGTAAGTTTGTGCCTGTCTGCCATTTGAAAATAGTAGGTATGTAGTGGCTAGTTCGAGCCAGATTGACGTTAATTGCTCCCTTGTAAAAAGGTGGGGTAGGTGGATTCTTATATGCCTTCTTATATCATATCCTGCAGGCGACTGCGCGGAGGTTTCTTGAAGTCACACGGCAGCGGCTCGTCTAGCGGGAGCCAATCAGAGAAGGACTGGGCACAACCACCCCATGGGGCTGAACGTGGGGTTTGGGGGCCATTTTGGGGCCTTGGTTGCGGTACGGTAAGTATTTGTGTTCTGATTGGCGTGGGGGAATAGTTGGAGATGTGGCTTGAGGAGGGTATTGATTACTAGACCTAGTGCTGCTACTGTCATTTGTTGCGAAGCCGAGTTATCAGACGGTCAAATACGAGATCTCCGAGTTGGACCCGTCGGGTAGCAGTACTGTTCAGAATCGGTCGGTAGGGATGTCAGCTACATGTAGTTGAGATTGGACCCAACTTCACGGGGATTTCTATCGAGTGAGCTTTCATGACGCATTGCTCGTGCACGTGAAGGTACGGAGCTAAAGCGAAACATAGTCTCATACCCACCCCGGAAAACACTAAATGAGACTGTAAGTGAAACTAAGGAATTTTTTAGAATCAGATCAAACGGTGGGGCATTATACGATAAGTTTAGGTAGGATGCGGATCTTTGATTATGTAGGGTATGGTATCGAGTGATACCTTGTGATCACGAATTCCATGATATACAACGGCAGTTCGTTCTAGTAGCAGGCGACACACGCCTAGAGTGAATGTATATACGCCTTAAACAACTTTAAGTGATGTACAGAGTTCTTAGTCTAGCTTCACGTGGCTAACAATATGTTCCATCTACTCTTGTCTCTTCCAGATCCCCTGACGAAGAGCCCCCTCCCCCAAATTAAAAAAAAAAAATATGAATGATGCCTCGATGGGGATTTGAACCCCAGTCTCCTCTCTCACAGCTATAAACCTACAGGCTGACTTTCTAAGAGGTATGCTAACCGACTACACTACCATGGCTTCTGGACAAACAGACCATGGATAGCATATAAAACATGCAAGCTGGTTCCCGCAAAGTAGCTAGGCGGGATGCGGGATTCCCGAAGTTATATAGGGTTGATGGTCCTGTCCTGTACATGTGCCGCGGGAGGGACATTCACCAGCGGATACTACTGGACGAATCAGCGCAGGGATCATACTGCATCGAGTGATACCCCATGTATCACTCGGCCACACACGATTGGCGGCAGGCAGGGTTAGGGGATTTGGCGAATTAGGCGAATTAGGTCGCGATCGGCGCTTGTATTGGGAATAGTAGTTGTCCAATGGGACGCTGGGGTAGATATTTTTATTGCTGGGAAGGTCGGTGGTGGGCTGGGTGGGTTGGTTTGGTTTGTGTGAAGACTCAATGTGTGGGTAACAGGATGGATGATTCTATGGCGAAGGAACGTACGTGCCTATTACTACACATACAGATCATAAAGGTGACACGTACTTAAGCTACGCTGTGGACACCGGTACCATCACCAAGGCCACCTTCCACGAAGTGCCCCATCCCCATCCCCAAACCTCACCTACAAGCCAACACACAAGAGAAGTAAGCATACTACCCCCGGTCACAGTCACAAGCAACACGCAACAGGGCGAAGAACCTCACCACATCACCCACGCCAGTAGTAGAATCCCACGCCAACAACCAACTCCACCCAGCACTTTGGATGTCTGCACGTGTTGATATCGGATAATTATTAATGCTCTGTGTGGCTTGGAGTGAGAGGGGGTTTGCACCTGTCTTTCGGTCTTCTTTTCCTATTGGTTCAATTGGATTTATGTGTGAGTTCTTTTTGACAAATATCACGATGAACCTTAGTAGATAGCTAATAACGGTAGTCAGACTGGGCCAGAACCGGGCCAGGGCCAGAGTTAGAAGCAATTTGATTGGTTGGCCGACAAAAGGTGTTTCCAACTCCATCCCAGCTTTCCGTCCAGCAGGGAGCCCGTTTGAGATGCTGGGATCAAGCCGGAGCAATAGGATTTGGTACGGGGTGGTTTTTTAATCGGGGATTTCAACAAGTCTAGTACTAATTCAACCAGCTAGTATAGTACTGTTAAAGAACTCTAGCTTTTCAATCCAGCGATTTTTTTTTTATCCTCAAGCTGTAACCCGAAAGTCCTAGACCTCTGACTACCGTTGATGGATTTGAGGGCTTTAGCACTTCGCGGACAATATAAGGTTTCCCGGGAAACACCCGTGGGTTCTACGTATGGGGTTTAAGCTAAGCTGTGTATATCGACACAGTTTATCTGCTGACAATGTTCTGGGTTGTCTGGGAATTCTCAGCTGTCACTCGGGGCGCAGAACAGGCAATATCTCAATCGAGCACACGTGATGTGTTAGCCAAGAAAGAAGCACTTGAATCCCTGTAGCACATCACCGGCGATCCCTCCCGATAGGCAACCGCAGGGGTGCCGGCACGCGACTTCACACGACAGGGACAGACATCGATAAATAGCCCCCCATTTCCACCAGCTTCATTATTCCTCTCATGGCGCCGTCTGCAATTCCTACTCCCGCTCCCTCCGCTGCCCCCTCCTCAGATGCAGAGCTGCTGCAGTTCCTCCAGCAGCTTGAAGCACCACTCAAGAACCTCCCCCAGCTCGCCAAAGACTTCGAAGCCACATTCCATGACCTCGCCCTCACCTCGACATCGCAGTTCCTGCCCACGCCCGTGCGCGTGCTCCCTAGCGGTGATGAGACGGGCCAGTTCCTCGCTCTCGATCTCGGCGGGACTAATCTGCGTGTCGGGGTCGTCGAGCTCTTTGGTAGGAGCTCTCTCGATACGGGCGGTGAGAGACTGTGCATTCCCACGCAAGGCAGCTGGAACATCCCGGAGCACCTCAAATCCAGCACCGCTGAGGACCTCTTCCACTGGGTCTCGGAGCGCATCCGCGATGTCCTCCGCGAGACGTCAACAACGGCGGAGGTGATGGAGCTCGGTATCACGTTTAGCTTCCCGATGGAGCAGACGTCGCACACGTCGGCGCTGTTGATGCCGATGGGGAAGGGCTTCACATTCACAAACACCAACGACCTCGCCGCGCTTCTCACAACCGCATATGCGCAGACCTCGGCGGCGGGAGAGCCCGCGATAAAGATCGTCTCTATCACGAATGACTCTGTCGCAACGCTGCTATCTGCCGCCTATGCGCACACCACCCCGCACTCCAAGACTGCCGCTGGCATTATTGCAGGAACTGGCACAAACGCAACATGCATGTGTCCCATCGGGAAGCTACACCCCGCCAAGAAGCCGTCCGGCGGGAACGCGGGTGGTATACTGCTGAACACAGAGTGGAGTATCAATGGCACTGCACCGCCGCTGCAGCCCTACGTGACGGACTGGGACAGGCACCTCGACGCGAGAAACGAGAAACCGGGCTTCCAGCCGCTCGAGGAAATGGTGGGTGGCAGGTACTTGGGCGAGCTTGTGCGGCTGGTTGGGCTGGACGTGTTTACGCAGCACTCCCTGCCCGCGGGGATGTACCACGAGTACGGGGTGGACACGAAGCTGTGCGGTGATGTCGAGGCCGCATCCACCGACTCGGATGCCCTGGCGCTGCTGGCCGACTATTTCAGTGCCGACGGCGGGTGGGGCCTCGGCTTAGAGACGGCGGCGGTGTTTAAGCGCGTGTGTACCACGATCAGCACGCGGGCGGCAGCGCTTGTTGCGGCAGCGACAGTGGGCGTGTTGGGCGTGAACGATGAGCTGGAAGATGGCGTGGATATCGTCGTGGGGTACACGGGGACTATACTGGAGAAATACCCGGGGTTCAAGGAGCGCTGCGAGGGCTTTATGAGGGAGATTGTGAGGAGGATGCGGGGCAGTGAGGAGGGGGCGACAGTGACGCTGGTGGAGGCGCGGGATGGGGGCATTCTGGGGGCGGCGGTGTTGGCGGCTATGGTGAAGGGTGGGAGCACGTAGAGGGTGTCGTAATAATCATTGACACTTATTAGATACTTATACTTACATGGAGCTTGTTTAGTTGGCTAAATGTGGCTATACGTAATTTCGGGAAAGCATAGATGGAGCTACTTAACTGTTTCTGCTATTAATGTTTCATGCGGGTTGTAGCTTAAACAATCAGAAGATAACACATAAAAAAAGATCATAAGGATTTGTTTGGAAAATTACTTATTACAATATTGAGTTGTTAATATTAAAAAAAAACTTAAACCCCATTAAACCCATGAGAAAGCCCCCAACTCAATAAATCTCTCATCTTCGATCCATGCTTTTATTATCTTTATATTTTCCTAAACCCAGCTTCTGCATCACAACTTAGAGTAATGCTGAAATTAATTCTGAGTACTCGAATACCTTCTCTAGATACATTACTAGCTACTCGCAGATTTTGTCTATCTGGAGGCCATGGTGGCTGACCAAACACCTCCGAAAACACCCCTAACCCTAATTATCCCCAACTCTCTCGGTTCGCTTTGTGCATCGCTGTTTCCTCTCTCTAACTGGTGTTTCCATCGTAGGAACTGGCTCCAGATGTTTTTTTTATTTTTACCCTAGGTCTCGAGGCCTCCAGCCTGCCGTAAAAGAGGTTCCTCAAGTTAAGCTGCGCGGGATTGCGTTGTTCCTATTTCTGTTGACAGACAAAATTTAAAAGGATTCTCAATGGCGATGAAAACTAGATAATTACTCACGATATGTGGCCTGATCCATATTTTATTGATTGTTTGACCTGGCATTGGCTAGCCTTTCTTTAGGAGCAGATGGCGTCGGTGAGGGGCTGCGAGGATTACCCGCGTGCGAGGACGATATAGGCGGGTTAATTTGAGAGACAATTGCAAGGGGACCTGTCGTCGTCTTTGTCATCGTCGTCGATAGTGATGGCCGCGGGGTACTTATGTGGGGGGTTGTTGGTTCTGACTCCTCCCTACGCCTGTATATTTCCTAATGAAACCGTTGCCTGTTAGTACATATATATACTCAATCCGGCATAATTTTAACACAGTAGGAGATCCAACCATAAAGGCAAACATATACGTGTAGTAGTCACATTCTTTTTCAAGCGGTATTCGCAGTATTGAAGAACGGCGGCGGTGACACTGATCATGATGTTGATAAAGTTCACTATCATTGCAATCATCTCTCCCATGCTTATATTCGAATCCATTACGAGTGAATTGTAGATTGAGGCTGTTTCTGATATTGGTGTATATACGTATACTCGATATTTTGCTAGAAGATGTTGATCTGAGAATTTCAGGTTAACGTATCGTAAATTTTGCAATCTAGACTCCTGGATGTATGGGGTTTACAGAGTGAGTGGGATGCTGGTGAGCGGATCCGGGACGATTAAATATCATCCCTAGCTACATTCATGTGGGTACAGTAGCAAAAATCGAGGTGAAATTACTACCGCAGTGCTATGGCAGCACTGCGGCATTTCAAATGCGGTTGTAAAGCGGCATTTAAAAGACTGCTCTATTCTATAAATGCCCAAGCAATGCTATAACTTACACTGCGGATAGGTGATCATGATGCGGCCACACTTTTGGTACGTAGTCCGCACTCCTACGCGTACATACTAGCAGCAAGCTAGGCTCGTCCTAGTCTCGTACCCATCAGCAAGACCTAGTTTAGAGTGGTGATCATCACGACTCACGATCATCATTATCGCCATTAATATCACCATCGATTATATCTTCGTCGCTCAATTAAGTATCAGACCAGTATAAAATAAGGGCACATAGAACTAAAAAAATATTTTTCGAAAGTATTCCCTAAGTCTTTGTAGCCCATTGACGAGGGACGTAAATTCATGGACCTATTGATGAATTGGGTTATTGTGTTCGAAATCTTGGTGATAATTTAATGTGAAGTTGAGATGCTTCAATGGAGATAAAATGCGCAGTTAGAAGGCATAGAATTTGGGCAGGAAAGTGAATGCCGCAGGAATACGGCATTTCTAAATCAAATGCCATCTCTACCCTAGCATTCTTACAAATGCGGCAGCATTACTGTACCTCCCCAAAATGCGGCAGTCCCACCGTAGTAATTTCATCCCGATTTTTGCTACTGTAGCTATGATAACACGGTATTGTAGATCAACGATCAAGCCAACTAGGCCCGTGCCCTGTACAGCCCTCCCAGGGTTCCGCGGGCAAGCTTGGCACTAGTAGGGCTAGACCGTAACTTGTACCGGTAGGAGCCAGCTAGGTATCCGTCTGCGCAGCCTACTATTACTGAATGGATTGAATATAATAGAGGCTTTCATTTGATCCCCGTTTTTCCATTTCAAAGTGAAAAGGAACAGACGCAACGTTGTTAGCTGCATGGGTCAACTGCTTTCCTCTAATGCAATGGAAGCCTCGAGGATAGGGATAATACGAGGATTTGCGTGCGCACGCTGGTGGTTGTGGTATTGTAGTCTTTTACCGTTGGATAGGATCTAGGAGAACCTTTAGTATGTTACAGCAACGCAGTCAACTGTGGTCGACTGTGCCAAGCCAGGACGGTTGACAGTCGACTGCGAAAATTTTCCGGAGGACGCGGACTACCGGACTATGCATGGACTGCATCATGGATTGGGTAAAGGAGTTCAGTAATATTGTTTATTATGATGATCATGGTGATTAAATGAATCTCCATCCTTGTGAAGTTTGAAGAGTATAATGTGGAACTACTTTGATATTGACTCAGTTCACTTTGACTGCGGTGCATTGCCTGTGAGCTCAAGTTGAGGCCGCCTTAACATAGCAAGAACGCGACTTAGGTAACAACCCAACCCTGAATGCAATCCATAGTTAGACCGTAGCTGGTAGACTGTAGACTAGTGCAAGATAAGTAGACTGCACATCTGGTCACGATTCAGTCTTGGCTAGCCCGAGACTGGACGGTTGGGTGTATTGAAGTCAGTAGTATGTATGTACACTCGGGGTATATACAGAAGTTTTGGTAAATTTTCGTTGCCGTTGCAACACAAAATTTGTATGGGAACACCATACAAAACCAGAAATACTCAAATCATGACCTTAAAATTTAGATCTCACACACCTGAAGAATGGACTTAAAATTCTAGAGTTCTCTGGGCTCTGTCTTGAGATAATTTCCAACTGTCCTTGAAACTTTGGAATTTTTTGGATGAGGTTGGATGGTTGCTTCGGGTAGCTAAACATGGCTACTTTGGCTGCATGATGCAGGTGAGCGGCTGTATAAGTTACAATTTGTATCCCTTAAGCTGCAGCTATCGACGCTGGCCCTCTATAACAGAGGAATCGGATTTTATGAGAGATCTATTATTTGATGAGAGATAACGTACGGGTAAAGGCGCACCGGCGAATTTGCTTCCCCCCCCCCCCCCGGGCCCCCGGGGGGGGGGGGGGGTGTTTCAGCATTTTCTCGATAGCTTAAGTGATAATCCATCTTCTACCACGGCGTGACTATTTTATTGAAAGGTTGAAAGCAATGGCCATCGATCTTCCCAATTGATTACTAAAATAGAAAGCTGCCTCGCCTACATAGCCTCGACCACTCTACCTGCATGCAACCCAACCACATGGGCTGTTGACTTGACTTGCCAGAAATGGCAGTAATCAACTTTTTTAGAAAGTGCCTTATGACCTACTGTGATCTATGAGCCGAGCCGGCCCGGGCTTTGGGCTCGAGCTTTCGGCTCATTCGCAACGAGCCCTACCACACAGAGAACCCGAGCCTAATTTATGTATAGTTTGATATGCTCCGAGAAGTTGTGGGAACTTTAAACATAGACTTATCGTCTTCCTGAGGAATCTAACCCCTCAAATTGCAGAAAAAAGCTCCATGTAGCTAGTTATTTTTCCTGCTCTTTGGTCTTGATCTTCCATCGCCAATTCCTGGTCTTGGCAGAATGATTTCCTGTTGTATCGATCATTGACCACGGCCACCGGCTCGAGCTCACTGCCTGACTCAACTCGAGCCAGCTCATGGGCCACACTAGCTTTACCCGCTTCACATGGTCATATGAGTAACATTTAATTTTAGAATGTAGGTCCATGCATAGCAACGCCTTAAGCTGTTAAACGGGCCCTAAACCATCATTATAACTACATATGTATATTAATCGATTTAGAGCGGAGTCAAAGATAGAGGTTGGAGTGATTAACCACGGACGGAGGGGGTTAAGTAATCGATCATTACTTGTATCTTTACCGACGACGCTACCTCCACTGCCGGAAAAACAATCTCCCCGCGTTGGAGATCTATCCTAATAAGCTGTTGGTCTGGAAACTTAAATGCAGTAATGATCGACTGTCCAACATTTCTGGATACTTTGAGCTGCTCTGCCATGTCGGAAAAAAATTCATCTTACCCACACATGAGTCCCCTCCCCTCTGATCTTGTGGTGGTACAGCTCGTTTCATCCGTTTTACCGAAGAAGCAACTCTCCGTCGATCGATCTCTAGCACGAGTGATCAATCGTGAACGATGACTAATCTCACAACCGATCACTCGGGCACCCGCGGGATGTGATGATCTTTTTTTTTTTTTTTAACTTATTAATTTCATCAGGATTTAATGTTGTAATTTCGGTCCTGGGAGTACTTGAATTCGAATCTCCGGGTTGTATTATTTTTATATAGGTTTATATGTGACATGAATTTTTATATTATTGTCAAGAGTTATTCTCCAGAGTTAGGGTTTAGAATATCTCATTAGGAGAGTCTAAAACTTATTATTACCACCTATTTTTAGTATATACAGTTCTATTAGCTACTCATCGTGTCGGATAGTTGGGGAATAATTACAGTATTCCGCACCTAAAAACCACATGTGACAGTTGTGGGGAAGCAGCATGCTAGAACCAGCCATGCACGCTGCCTAGATCGAAGTTGAAATGATTGACCACTGCGGAAAGGAAAATCCAATTATTACCTCTATCAACCTGGCGCAGAACGAACATTCTCTCCCTTATTGATGGAGTATTTTGA